GCACCGACGTTAAAGTGGACGGAAGCCGCGAAGGTAGAGGGGGGAGTACCCTGGCATGCGGCGGTGCTGCAGGGAGCTGAGAGGTTCATGACCTCCTGGCACGAGAAGGAAGAAGAGGCCAGCCAACAACGGGCGCTCTAACGAAACCACAAGCCACCAACCAATGGGGCGGGAGGGGGGCAGGAGCCGGACGAGACGGCGAGGGAAGAAAGCAAACGAGAAGAGACGGACCGAGTGGCGCGATACGTGCCGGATTGAATTTCTTGTAGCCAGTTTTCCCCACCCCAACGCTGCACCATTGCACCAACCCCCCACTAGTGATGACGTACCATTACAATGTATCGCTGGTTGGTGGCCATGTTTGCGTGTTTGCTTGTTCGTTAGTGGTCTCTCCACCGTGTGCCTTTTCTGTCTCTTATTTCTTGTTATTTTCGGCCTGGTCCCCTTTTGTCCTCGCTCTTTTTATTTCATTTTCTCTTTCCTTTTATTTCTTCTCTTTTTCTCTTTTTCTCTCTTTTTCTGTGCCAGATGGCCTTGTCTCTGCTTGCGTTGTGAAGCACCAAGATTGAACCAAGGGGGCGTACCTCATTCTCTCCGGCCCGTGATGGTGAATCCTAGTCTCAGTTGTTACCTCGCATTGCGCGCAGAGGGAGTGGAGGACTCCAGAATATCTGTCGTTGATTTCTATTGACTTGCGGACCCCTCGGGGCCATTTTATTTGAGTGTACCTGTTTAGGGTAAGTTAGCCTGCGACCACGGGAATCGACCGCGTCGAGTGTTGGATCAGTACGGACATCCGAAGGTACTGGGTAAAGAGAGATCGGAACGGTTTTGAATGTGAAGACAACAATAATACAAACGGATTTGATGAGTTGACAGCCATGTTTCATAATTAGGACCTCGGTTCGCTTTTTTTTTTTAGTGTAGGTATAATTGCCGGAGACACATTTGGTGGGTATTTTCCGTCGACTTGCTGACTTGTCTGGCCGCTTCGCGATACTCGTACCAAACATCGTTGTCAGCAAACAAGATAACATCGATATTCCTCAGTTTGGTGCCCTGGAGTCACCGCTGCCACCATTGGCCCCCAAGGGATCTACGTATCAACCAACGGCATTCGGGTCTTTCCCAGGGCAACGGAATTGATTCCACAGGCAGTGGGACATTATTTCAATAAGCCCACTCGCAAAGAAGTTTTTCATTGAACGTTGATAGTACGCACCCCTGCTCGGGTCCTGTCCACCCTCAATTCCAGCTGCAACGGAAGGTCCTCAGCGGACGAGAAAGGCGGGCAAGTGGAGACTGCAGGGGGCGAGCGGGCGTGAGGAAAACGGAATGAGGGACGATGCTTTCGAGATGGTTCGCCGTGCTCTGAAAGGCGTGGGCCGGGACCTCTTGGACTACATGTACGATGCGCCGGATGACGTTTTGGCGGAGTGGCTCAGAGCTCCGTTCGAGCGCGCAGCTTCTGCGGGGGATATTCCGCTTACAATGGCGCTGATGAAAGCTGGCGCAAGTGGAGACGCATTTAGTTCGGCTGTGATAGGCGGCCACCGCCGTCTCGTCCGAGGCTTGCACTAAAGGGGTGCATCCCGCACGGACAAGAACGAAGATGGAGATACACCCCTACCCTTGGCCGCTAAGTTCGGCCACGGGTTTATTGTGCGCACGCTGCTGATCGAGTTCGTGTGGAAAACAATTACGCCGTCGACTACGAAGGTTTGAGCGGCGATTGTTCCGCCCTCGATTTCGCGGCCTTCGGTGGCCACGTCAACGTAATGAAGTTGCTTATTCGACACGGAGCAGGCGTTAGGGACACCAGCCACACACAACAGCCGCCTCCTAACCGCACTACACCATGCGGCCGCTGGCACGAAGCTGGACGCGATGGAGTTCCTGGTGGGCTCTGGCGCCGACGCAAATGGGGGAGCCTTGAAATGGAGACCGATACACTTCGCAACCGAAGCTAACTCTCCGGAAGCCGTGCTCGCTCTCGTTCGTCATGGCGCTGACCCCCACGCGGAAGACTCGCTTGGGCGGCCGCCGCTTTGTTGTGCAGCTGACCGTGGCAACATGGAGACCCTCAATGCCCTTCTTTTGGCTGGCGCCGATCCCAATGTCTCTCATGAAGTATGCCCTCCACTCCTATTCGCAGTGCTATCCCGCAGTAACAACAGTGAGGACATGACACGTGCTCTTCTTCAGCACGGAGCCGATGTCAATGAACTGGACGACTATGAAATCGCTATCAATGAAGCCGTTAGATGCGGCAATGTGGTGAAATTGCTGCTCAAGGCAGGTGCTCTCGTGGACGGGCACAATGACTTCCATGGGCTTGTCCTGGCGCCGCTTCACGCGGCATGCAACTTTTCCCTCAGTTGCGACGTGGTCAAGGTCTTGCTTGGGCACGGTGCTAACGTCAACCTACAGGACAGTGAAGGGACCTCGGCGCTACATTTGACTGCGGTCCGGTTCTCGTCGCGCCTGGTCGACCTTCTTCTGCGGCATGGAGCAGACGAAACAATCAACAACGGTGACAGTAGCACGCCGGCCGACTGTGCCAGACTTAAAGCTGGACACCAGGAAGCTTCTAGGCCCGTGCTCAGGCTGTTGGGCGGAGCTCCAGCCGACAGAGCCTGGCGTCGCCGGGGTCGCGTGCTTCTATGCAGTACACCGCCGCAACAGAAGCGGCTTGGGCCGGGGGAGACCCGCACCAAGATGACACGTGTGACGGCTGGAGATGGCGCAGCTGCCCGTGGTGGCACTAGCGAGGTGGGATCTGACGCGCACAGCAATTCCAACGGTAGCAGCGACTTCAGCAGCTTGATGGCGAGACTTTTTGATCGGCCGCAAGGAGTCTTCCGCAAGATCGTGTGCTACCTGTGAACCTTGAATGTGAGATGGCGTTGATGCTAGTAACATGCCAAAAATCGTTTCGATCTATTTCCAGTTTTTCGTTGTGCATAGTCTACATGGTAGGAAGGAACAATAGTCCATCCATGATCATCTCCGTGGCCGCAGAGTACCCAATGAAGAGCCCATGAGTATAAACGAGTGCCCTGAGTATCATAGTCCGGTAAGACTGCTGTCACATGGAGCAAGCACCGCTACATGTGTGTTTAAGCCATCTTCCACCCGGAATGCACCTAATCATTTCCAAAAGGCGCACGATGATACGAGCACAAATCTGGACCAGACTTCGCAACCCTGCGAAGTCGGGGGGTGTTAATCGTCGGAATATTCGCAGACTATAAATAGGCTCACTCCCTTCACTCCCGCCGAATGCGAGAGGGGCTGCGCAAGCCCACAACGATATCTTCTACGATAACTTTCGCCTTCACCGCAAAGATATGCGCTCTGCCAATTACCTTGCTTCGAGCATGGTTGGCTTTCTTCAGTCGGATTGTGTGCAATTTTATCGGAAACGCCTGATTGCATGAATGGGTGTACTGGCTTGGGCTCAACCTTTTTTTTTCGCTGATCGTGCACCTTTGGCCAGCTCGAGGTACCTGTGCCGTATTTTGGCGGGTGATCGGGCGCCTGTCCAAAGCCACCAGCCGTGAAGTTGTAGCATGTGTTCGGGGGTTGAAAACCTTGTGTTCTACGGATTTTTCGTCTTTTGTGAGTGTCGTGATTCTGATTCATCGTGTGTCGTGTCCCGCGCTTCACTGCATGTGCAGCTTGAATAGACTAGATTATTGCCGTGTCCTGTTTGTCATTGGATATCCACCGAAGTCTGTTTCACGCATCCCCCCCAATACCGCTGTACGTGGGTGCCCCGCTGGTGTCGTTTGTTGTGCCCATGCGCCCACAACTGAGCAGGTGCAGCGTACGTGACCCGCACCGGACGGTGAGCTTCGAAAATGCTATGGGATCATCAGGGCATTGAGCGCTTGCTTAGGCTGGGACCTCCCATCACAACCCGTATGAAGGGGATGGGAGGTAGGGAGAGAAACGCGGAAGCGTGAAATTATCATGACATGTGTCTGAAGGCCCGCGAATCTCTGATGTAGGGAGAGAAGAAGGGAGGGGACAAGGGCGGGGGCTAAGCTAGTGTTGGGCTTGAACGGAGGTTCAAGGGGTGGTGGGTATATGCACGACAGTGTAGACACCAAATGCACGAGAGTACAATATATGCTCGTGGGCGTAACAAGGCAAGGAACGAATACAGAATGGTTCTAGTTTGACGTTTAGACTATTGTTCGTGCACCTCGGTGTAGAAGGCCGTTCTCTCTCGTTTTCCGAACGCCCGGAAGTCCCGTCCACGAGCAATACCGCCTTTGGTTCGTACCTGACCCCGTGTTGCTTTGCGGTGCACGTTATGTGCGCCATGAGAATAAGCAATGTGGTAAATCCCTTGGATGCGGTTATACGGCATATTGTAATTAGGCGAACGCAGAACATCGAGAATCTAGGTCGAGAACGTAATCCCCCTCCAGTTTTCCGTTCCCGAATGAGGCGCGGCCAAACAGACGTCTGTGTATGATCTACGGGATCCTACAGGTTCAACGTATTTTTAGATTCCGCGTTGATGAATAATGTCCTGAAGTGACAGAGGAGGGGATGGTAGATCAACGCCGTTTCGGTGGAAAGAGACTTTTGAATGCCTAACCGGAGCTTTCGAAGCGAAAGCTCTTTCCGCGCGCTGGAGAAAGGCATATCCAGCCAAGACGATAGAAGCCACAGCTGCTGGGCTGCTGAAGGGCTTTTCTGCGTGAGCCGCCTAATGAGTACCCGTCTTGTTTCGGAGTCATGTACGGGTCTGTCTACGGTTTTGTTGTGTGGAGGAGGGCAACGAACGGGTCGTTGTCCCAGGTACGCGTCTGCCCTGCGTATGTGAAAAGGACGCACGATCTAGAGACCCAAAGGGTTGGTCTAAACGCTCGCCCGCCCAATCTTACCGTTTCTTCCATCACTTCGCTTGGAGCAAGGCGGCAACAACAGTAAACCCGCGGCACCGCACAACCCTGGACATCTTTTGCCGATTGTGGTGTGGCAGAAAACAAGCCGTTTGCGGCAAACGCACACGCTTGTCCTTTTGCTAATTGCTCGTCAATTGAACCAGGCCGACACCACGAGAGGTGAACCAAACACAGAACAGCTTGGCGTGCCGCAAACAGTCTTATATTGCGCCAACGAAAGTCTGCGAGGCTACGAAATACCTGACGTTGCGGGCAAGGGCCAACAATGAAGAGTGCACAATATTTGTCGATACTGTAAAGTATGATGATTTGTGTTCAGTCGCAGTTGCCGTGGCTGGTTCATACTTGCCCGCCTCGAGGCATGCTTCAGCAGCGCCAAACCAGATCGGGAACATGGGCTAGAAAGCGGAACATAAACAACAATAGTAACAAATTTCACGCGTCACATTTCCAGCTACTTCGGCAAGACACGAATCTCTTGAGTGAACGGAAACCGGAACACACCTCCCGTTCACCCTCCGTGTACGTCGAACACATGTTCCAAGACAAGTCCGGGGAGTCCCATCAAACGTCTACGCCTGTTATTGTACTAAAAAACGCCCGTTAAACATATGTCTCCAAAACTTCTATGCTTCTTGCAAAACGTTCCAGGGTAAGCTTTCCAGAAGTGTTCTTGAAACGTTCTCATCGAACGTCGCTCTCGCGCAGCTCGTTACGCGTGCTCGTTGCCGGAATCCACGTTGGCGATGTCGGACTTCATCATGTCCTTGACGAGATCTTTGAAGCTGATCTCAGGCACCCATCCCAACTCCTTCTTGGCCTTGGTGCAGTCGCCCTAGTACGACAAAAAAAAAAAAACGAAACCGAACCAGACTACAAGTGAGGAACGATTCATTTCGAGAGATTTTACACAACACCAACGCAGGACGAAGCGCCTGTGGAACCAGAGATATGGCGCCTCAAAAAGTCGAAATGAAGACGCGACGAGTGGCAACGCCCGAAAGCGAGTCGCAACTTTCAAGGCATTAATTTTCGCAACACGAAATTTTCTCAAGTGTTGGTAGATACGAGCAAAGCGGGGATTTGAAGTGGGCAAAATCGTGGGCAAAATCATACGCCCATCACGGTTCAGAGAAGGCCAATGCCACGACTCGGCATGCCGACATGAAGGCATTCCAGCAGGACCCGCCACAGGAACGGCGGCTCGGATGCGCACCGGCGAGACTAGCAACAACGTCGAAGATGCCGCTGCACACCACGTCTTTATCTCTGTCGCCACGGACGACCCAGTACATCTTTACAGGGAAGTCGGTTGCATTTTGTTCCATATGGATACAGCTTTAAAGCTATAGCAACAGTTGAGCTTACCAGGAGCAACTCGACCTCGGTCGGACGGAAGTAGCGGGGGTCTACGCGGACGACGATGTTCTCCGGGTCGTCCTTGACGTGACCGTACTCATCCACGCCCTCACCTACCCATGTGATCTCGGTGCCCACGTACGCGAAGGCCTGATTTGAAAACAAAAATACGCGACAGACATGAGTCATGGGGAGTTTTTGGATGAAACGTGAAACCACGTCTTCTCGCATCAACAACCTTGGGAAGCACGAGATGAATGATGAGCACTGAGGGATAAACTGGACGATGATTGGCATGCATTCTAGCGCGTTCCTAGACGTCTGTAACAATACGCCAGGAACGTCAACAACAGAACGGAGGACACGCCAGAAACGCACGTCCGTCAAACAAACTCCAATAGAGAAGGTTCTCACCTCCTGCACGAACTCCTTCACACTGTGGCACTCTCCCGTGGACAAGACGTAGTCGCTGGGCTCATCCCTCTGCACCATGAGCCACATCCCCTTGATGTAGTCCTTGGCGTGTCCCCAGTCACTGCATTGTGTTGAGCAGCGCAAAGACATGAAGGACCAATCAAAACCAAACGGTATCCCTCAACCGCGCTGATGAAGTCGGTACCATTACCCGTGATGTGGCTGTGACACGTACGTTGGCGAAAAACCTGACTAATGCTTTGCCTGGTAGTTCAATGTCAAGACACGTACGCTCTGCGAGGGATTTCTTCGCTGGGAGCCATATCTGCGAGTACCAACAGATATTCATATTCTCCAGAGTTATCCCTGCACGTGTCGGCTGAATGAAAACATGTACCAAGGATCACTGACGATTCAAGGACAAAACAGGTTTTCCACAACCCTCAACACATGCCAAATTTGGCAATGCAAGAAAAAAAAAGAAGCTGCAAGCGCCTAGTTAGTAGCCACATATACAAGCGCGGAAAAAGTACAAGCGAGGCGAGCTTACCGCTTGGCGTCAAGGTTGCCGAGGTAGATGCACTTCTGCTTCCCGCGGTGGATGCGAGCGACAGCGCGGGTGATCTTTCTTGTCACGAAAGTGGGGCCCCGGCGGGGGCTCTCGTGGTTGAAGAGGATGCCATTCGTCAAGTGCATGCCGTATGCCTGTGCAGCATCCGTTCGTTCGTAGTCAAGAGGAATCCCCGCACAGTAAACAAGCACAGAGGATTAGAGCTGCGATTCATGAAGAAATGCCGTTGCCACCACCAAGTGTGAATATACCGAAAGCGCAAAGCCAAACCGAGATCTGCTGAACATCATAGCCCTGCATAGAAAGAAACAACCATCGCTGAGAGCGCGCTGCGGGCAAAGAGAAAGGCACATTGTGCGTTGAACGAGAGATGGAGGTAAGGATCTTTGGTCACATAAACCAAGCAGTTGTCATCAGGTACAGTTTCACAGAATCCACAGGCTCCCTCCGGTTTCACTTTGGCGTACAGCGACAGATTAGGTCAGCATGCGCGAGAACCGATCCAACACTCGAGCAGCGACGTAAAAAAAAACAAAAGATGCCTTTCACCTCGCGGTAGTTGATAAGCATCCAGTAGCCGAACTGCTTGGCTACGCCGTACGGGGAGCGGGGGTAGAACGGCGTCGTCTCCTTCTGGGGGATCTCCTGCACCTTACCGTACAGCTCGGAAGTCGACGCCTGCGTCGTCGCCGACAAGGTTACAAGGACGTTGGATGCAGCGATCAGATTAGTTCGACGTGGGCGAGAGAGATGGGGGGATTGACTCGAGGAGAAGGGGGGAGGTACGAATGACAGATACACGGAGCATCGACACTCCGCCGGCCTCGACCAACACGGAACAAGATACACGAAGGCACGAAAACCGAGGACTTCACGTGAACGTTCAACGAACAAAAGTCGAAGCAAACGTTCACAGTACAACATGGAGCTCACAACCACCGCGTATCAAAGTGCGCGAGTATGCGGCTATCGACTGGACAGCTTGGGCAGTTTTGAAATCCATGCATCGTTAGTTTGACAGGCAACGAACCAGGCGAATAATCTCACGCGCCAGAAACTTTGAAAAATAGCCGAGGGTCTGTACACTGAAACTATCCCACAAGGGATGATGTCTACATAGGTTGTACCTGATACAGACGAGTCTTCTTCTCGAGTCCGGCGGAGCGGATGGCGTTGAGCAGGCGCAGCACGCCAACGCCGTCTGCCTCCGCCGTGTACTCCGACATCTCGAACGACACCTTCACGTGGGACATGGCCCCGAGGTTGTAAATCTCATCCGGTTGCACCTGTTGACATCACCGGACAAACCATCAGTCAGTGGAGTCAAGCACCGTCCCAAGCTGAAGATGCGCAAGTGGGCCCGAGGGCCGAAAAACAGATGCAGCAGGGCGCAGTACACATGCAACACACTGTGGGTGTAAAGCCCCTGTGCACGACTACGTCGCTGCCGATCGAAAAGGGATACCTACACGTGGATGAGGGCGGCATGATTGGGCCAAGGAATCTCGGCACCTCCTCATCAAATTCATCTCATGTTCGGAATCGAGTTGTTGGTAGCCGTGCCACGTGCGTGTACCATCAAGACTGCACCAGAGCACGGAAACAAGCAAAAGAAGAGGCCCAATCTCAATTGAAGTACGCGACACGCTGGCCCATGTAGACACAACACCACAGCTCTGGAAAACCTTGCTGTCAATAGCTGGGACTCATCACAGCCACCGTCCGAAACAAGCAACGGCTGGGGCGATTCCGCTGGAGAGCTAACCTCATAGATGATGTGCATGAGGTTGGTGGAGTCGGTGAGGTCGCCGTAGTGCAGCTTCAGGCGGACGGCGCTCTCGTGGCGGTCGCGGTAGATGTGGTCGATGCGCTGGGTGTTGAAGCTCGACGATCGCCGGATGATGCCATGCACCTCGTAACCCTAGTGTACAGCAGCACATTAGAATCATCGGTTATTTTGGAGGATCGGCGGGGATCCTGAGCGCCGATTCAGAACACAAGGAAAGGAAGCCAGCTGCAAGCGGCAGCAGCAGGCAACCAAGACAGAGAGGTAGAGGGGTTTCGGCCATGTGTTTCAAGCAGAGCCAGCTCGGGATACGCAACCACGGTGGCCAACCCGAAAGGAGCGAGGTCAAGCGGGAGGGAAAAGTAATCCAAGCGGCTATTGATTGCAACGCACCCTTGGTTGTCGGCAAACGAGATGGAGAAAAAAACATGAGTTTCGCTCCAAACGGACGGCCACGAAACAGAGGTGTGCAACAACAAGCACACGCCGCACAGTGGTCCAGGTTGCGAAGTGGGGATGATCCGCACAAAACGCAGCGACCACTGTTACAGCCGTCCCTCTGGTGAGCTGGTGAGTACTACAGCAGTACGGTGTAAAACAAACCTCAAAAGTCGTATCTTGGAATGACTGCGTGGGTAGTCAGGAGTTCGAACCTCCACTGGTGCCGAACTGCACAAAACAACTGCTTTCACTGCTGCCAGTGCACCCTAGGCCACCTGCAACCTCGCTGAAAAACAACCACGGTATCCATCATCAAGAGCGAGAAGGGATTCGAAAGCGATGTTGTATCTATCGTAGCTCAGCGGCAAAACGGTTCAAGACCGTTAACGCTGCTATGGTTGCGGGTGGAATGACGCATATAAAATAAGGCGCGGACGTACGTGAAAAAGGGGGCATGCGTACCTTCTCGAGCAGGAATTCCGCGAGGTAGGAGCCGTCCTGGCCGGTGATACCAGTGATGATGGCCTTCTTCATTGGGGCGGCCCCCTCGTCTACCTTGGGCTTCTTGTTCTCGGGCTCAGCCATCTGTGAAGTAAGGAAGGTACGAGATCAAGCATTCCTTACCGGGTATTTTATTATCAAGTACGTTCAAAAATATTTCCCAGGACTCCAACCTCCAACCTCGGGCTGTGCTCTGTGGCTAGGTTGCGGTTTCGCATGCTCGTTAGGCGGATGGGAAGAAAAATCATGGCGAGACGACGATTAGGGGGGGGTGGAGGCAACACGAAAGTGTCAAGAACGAGCGGAGTGTTGCCTGCGAACCACGCGAAGGTACGGCTGCGTGTGTTAGGGTTAGGAACGAGCGGAGTACTGCAGTATGTACGCGATTCGGAACCGTATTACGCACACGTGACGCGAAATTGGCGGTGTTGAACCAACAAACAAAACACCCCGCCGTTCTTGCAAATATTTAGGAAAATAAATACACAAAAGCAAGACTGAAAACAGAAACTGGAGAGACTTTGATATACATTGGATAAGCTTATGTCCATGTGTGGTCATACAAGGTCGAACATGACGCGATGTGGCCGTGAAAAGAACAAAATGTGCGGTTCTCTGTATTGCAAGCCTTCGAAGTCGTACTCTGATGTTTTCGGTTGTGGTCCTTGTATACAACGGCTGTGTCGTGACGAAGCAGGCTCCGAAGTAATATGAATGCGTCACCGTGATTTACCGGTGGCAGCAACGTTGGGGGTGCGGGCGGACTCCTCGGCGTATTTGAACAAAAATACGGTAGTGTTCATCGAAGACCCAACCATTTAGGGTAGCTGGTCTGTGACTACGGAAGGCATCCGGGTCAGCTGGACCAGTACAACGGATGTGTTACGTACACGTTTTTATAGGAGGGGCTATTGTGACAGATAAAAAAGTTACGCTGAAAACGTGCGGTAGCGATTTTCTCGGTACCTCGATATTTTACTCGGTTTATGAGGCTGAGGGTGTGGATGTTCCGAGAAAAAATCCTCTTCGCCTCTCATCTGATCCATCTGACAACACAGGACATTCCCTACATCTCATCCCGCACAAACAACGGAAGGCCTTGTGTACAACCGCGTGCATGGATGTGGCATGCCGGTTCTCTGACGGTCTGAAAAGGATTGGAGCTGCTGCAGTGTGGGAACCAACGGCAATCTGCACAATCTCCTATTTGTCGGCATGGGTTGAGACGAAGTGACAACATCGGACCAACTCTTCTTGTTCTCCGTCCACCTTGCACGATCAAACGAACACACAACCGCTCATCGCCTGGGCCAAGAGGCGAGATTCCATCACGGCGCCCACGACGGTTATACGGTTGTCGGAGAACCCCCGGCCAACGGCTGTGTCGGATTGGGCGGCGTGGTTTTGTCCGCTCGTTCCCAATACTCCTCCACCAACAAGCACGCACTTTGCGCCCCAGGTTTCACCCAAGATACAAACAAACAATTGCACCCTTCGCGCGTTGCGCGACAAACACTGAGCGAAGCCGCTGCTGTGTCCACGTCAACCAATCGACACCGTCAGCCCTCGCGCCCTAACCCTGCCCCGCCCTGACCCTTGCTAGCTTCGTAACAGCTCGGTTTCGACAACTGTTTCCGAGGGCAGACCTTACATGGAACATTCGTTTGCTCCGCAGGCGCAACCCATTGCGACTGCCTGCCTGCGGTAGAGCTCCGCGACCCAAAATATCACCAAGTCTGCTGAAGCCACTTCGTGGGTGGATCATGCGGGGTGTAGGCTCACCTTGCGAAAGGGTCGGAAGGAACCTGGTGCGGGATTAGTGGTGTTTCGATTGATCGGGACAAGCTGCTGGTGGTGCAGGTGTGTGTGGCCGCGGCAAAGGCGGGGACTCAACAACAGGGAAAACCACCCTGGTGTATATTTCGACAGTCCCTTCTACAATCTGCGAGCACCCCGCCTTCACGCCGCAGACGCAACCCCACCGAGAGACAGAGACAGAGACAAAGAGATACAGAGAGCGAGAGAGAGAGCGAGAGCGAGAAATCCTGACGTGATTGATAGCAGCCATGCAGGTGAGGATCTTGTCGGCAGGGGAATCAATAATTTGTTGCATCGGCTTTGGGCGTCCATGTGGCGCACGAACAATGTCTGCAAAATGATCTCATGTTGGCTGTCGTTGCACCTCGTTTCGTCCCATTGTAGTGCTGGTTGGTGCGTCCGTGCACAACGCAGCGCCCGACGTAACTATCATAGCCTTTTTGTGTTCCGTAACACACCCTGCTCTTCTGCTACAAGCCCCTGCCGAAATAATTCCACGCCGGATCTTCGTCGCCAGCGGTGTGCAGCAGTGTTTCACGAGGGCAGCTCTCGTCGCCATGTACGGCACCTGAGTTTGAACAGCAGGCTTTGGAATGGCGCCTGTGGTCAAGCCTGCTGTGTCGCAACTGCAAGTTCGTTATGTCATCTTGAAGGCACTCTGCTTCTACCGGAACAAAGCTAGCTAGAAGTCAGTTGGGAATTTGCGACAGGGGTCTTCAGCCGAGCATGGCCTCATGCGTACAACAAGCTTTTGTCCGTCGGCGGTTGTGGTGGCATGTGACGGAATCGCGGGATCGCGTGAGGTTTTCGTCGTAGCACATGTATCTTCGTGCGTAGTCACCAATCTAAAGTATCACGGTGCCAGTCTACAAGACCTGTCGGCATCACGTTTTGATAAATATTTGGCGTACCTATGATTTGTCTTGGTCCCTTTGTTTTCGTTTGATTTTTCAAGGCGTGTCCCACCCGTTTGGGGATACTGCTGTACGGTAGTTTGCCTCCGGGGTCCTGAAGGCGCTAGCGCGAGCTGGTACAAATACGGGTGCCCAATGGTACCGCAAGGATGCGAAGGTTCGCACAGAGGTGTCAGCGCGTGGTTGCGCCACAGCCAGGTTGGCACCAATGAACGATGAGTGTTATTGTTTCGAGATCTCGTCGAGAGTGTTCCCGAGACGTATCGGTTGGTGTTGGCCATCCACCCTCCTGCTTGTGGAGCGATCAAGCTCCCAAGAAACGCTGATCCGCTGAACGAACCATCGCGTCCTTACAGCCTTACAGGTACTGAGCAGAGACCGAAAACGATTTTCAATGTGCGTGCAATGATACCAGTCGGAGTCACACTGGAAGAACGTAACACCTAGCCACACGTCGTTCTGCAATTTGTCGCTGACGAAGACTCTATTCCCTCGTCGCTTCGATACCCTCTTGATTGTGCGTGCTTGACCTCTCGAAAACGGTGGCGGGAAACGGTGGGGACTAGATCTGGATCAAGACGTTAACTGGCCGCAAGGTGGGAGAGATGGAGAATAAGAGAGAGGGGAGCGAGCGGGCGGTAGACTGAACATCGACAAAGTCAAGCATATTGGTGATTCACTTGACTCGAGAACGGCGGAGGGGAGAGGGAGCGCACGAATCATGACCTCGCACTGAAAAGGCCGTTCCGAAAATGAACAGATCGTGTTGGATAGCACCAGCCTGACATGTGTTAGTTGACATGCTCTTCTCGCGTCTACTGTAAACGCCGTAGGCTCCGAGATACATATCCAGAAACAACGACTTGCAGCTGGCATCACTCGCGAAGTTTGTGCTCGCTCTCGGCCTCGCATGGTCTGATTTGCGTTTATTGGTGCTGTCGCGGTGGCGTCGCTTTGGCGCACTACATTATGCGTGTATTATGTGCAAGTTGGTGCCCTTGTTTCCACATCCTCTTCGATTTCGCTCGTGTATGAACCGCGGTTAAGTTCCTCCGAGATGCACGTCGCACTAAGTTGTTAACGTGGCGTGCACGTTGCTGTCGCCAAGTCGAGTTGCCGTGTTCGCGAGCAGCCGAAGCAACTTCTTCGGGGATGTCGGTCGATGACAGTTGGCTGGTGGTTTGTCTCGGGGTTTATTTGAAGTAGGCCTCTGCAGAGACGCGGAGCTTTCAGTCGTCAGACATTTCTGCGCGACCTTTCACGTCACGATCCTTCCCCCGTCCCTTGCTTCCTTCCCGCCATGTGTCGATAATATGTAGCAACAATACAGCTTCGAGCCGGACAACCAAGTGAGCATGGTCAAGCAGGCCTTGCAAGAGAAGGAAGGGATCCAGGTGGGCAGACGAACGAGGGGGAGGAAGAGCGCGTGGTATCGCCATAGCCATTATTGCGCTTTCACTGGCCCCCTTGAAGACACATCGCTATGGTCAGAAATATGGGATTCCGGGTCTACACGGGTTTTGACGCGGAGGCCCGTGTTGCGGATCATCCTGTCTGTGCGAGAGTACCTTTCGCATGCCATGGTCTCGGAGTTCCTAATCGCCACACGGGAAATGGTTCCAGTCCGGGTGATTTGACAACGGTTCCAACCCTTACAGCTAGCGCACGGGAGTATCGCACCCTCTGATGCAAAGGTTCGGTTGGTGGAAGATTGGTCGGCCCGGATCACATCCTTAGGTGTGTCATGTTCGGATCTCAGCCAGCACGTTAGATGCAACGATTTCCGCCATCAAAACCAACTCCATCGCTCCAATGCTGACAACAATGCGCAATTGCGGTGTTTGTTGAGTGTCGAGAAGGTACGAAGGGAATCCCTTGCACGAGTGAAATACATCTCAGAATTCGTGTGTGCGGTGATGCGATGTACCTCGTTGTGTGAGTCGCGGACGCGAAACGGTTGATGTTGTGGCGGCAAATGATGTACATAAGATTCTCGCTGTCCAACCAAGCCATTATAGTACGTCATGCCATGCCCGAACACCTTCCTCTTGTCATGGCTCTTTCGCGCGCAGGTGGACCAAATCCGATTGATCTACAGCGGGAAGCAACTCGCAGACGACCATACATTGTCCCACTACAACGTCGCCGCGGGAGGAACCATTCACATGGTGTTGCAGTTGCGCGGAGGCTTGCGGTAGGGGGCTGTTGTAGCTTAGGCTTTCGAGAGCGGACGTGCAGCCTGGGACGGACGCAGATTGTCACATGAAGCGGTTGCTCAGCCTCCCTCTTTGAAAGAGGCTTGTTTCTCAGCGGTACGTTGCACCAGTATGAGCAGGGGCGAGTGGGATGCACGCTGGGGCTGTGCCACGCCTTTTATTTCGTTTTCCTTGGACGACCGCCGTTGCATTTTTGCCGCTTGGGCACGCAGTTTTGGAGGGAAGCAGTACGCGAGCCTTTCGGCGCCGAACAGTTGTGAGTGGTGTGGTCAGGTTGGGCAGTATTTGTCGAGGGTTTGGAGGCGAGAATCTACAAAATCCGTCCAAAGGCTGACATGACCATTTTCCCTCCAACTTCCCCTGTTCCCTCGCACTGATGCGTTTTAGTTTTCGAAGCGCGAGCTGCGCCATCGTCGATGAAGGTTGTATGTATTATTTGCCCGTTTGCCGGATTCTTGAAACGATGGTTGGCTAGTCACCTCGTTGGTGTGTACACTGGAGACTGGACACGCTGGTCTTTTGTCACTTGGGGCGCGACTATACTCAGAATAAGCCAGGACAGACTTGTTACCTTCGATTCGATTCGAGTCTGGACAGTATGGACATCGGTCTTACGCAATCTTTCATGAGTGCTGTATGAAGTGCAGGGTGGCATCCTCCATCGACTTGTTTCGCGATTGTTGTGGAGTAAACTATGGCGCGATCGGTCGGGATGCGGAAATTGAAGGATGTGTGGGTCCGTTTGCAGGCTTGCGAATGTAATGGCGATTGATCCAGACCGGCAGGCTACTGACACCCCCCCAGGGCGTTGGTATGGCTACAAGTAGCAGTCTTGGCTTTCGACATGTAGCACAATGACACGGCAGGAGCAGGTAGCAGCTTGATTCTCGAGATGAAAACTGCTTCCTCATCTCCTGCTGGTACTGAAAACGCAGCATTATGTGTACATATTCAAGGTTTCGGCGGCTTCCGCCGCCACGCTTTAGAGAAGCGAGTCCAAGATACTTGTTTTTGTGCTGAAGACACATTTTCGTGCTACTGCTGTAGAGACACGAATGATGAGACGTGGGCATCGAGGAATGATGTTTGTGTCACGTGCTTTTTTTCCCGACGACGTTCATGTGTTTTGGCATGACCGGCTGAATGCATACAATGTCGCAGCTTTTCACCGGTCCCGAGAGGAATTTGTCACGTGATGTTTGCGTGTGATGTGCTTTTCCTAATGTTGGTGAGCTGCGTTTCTAACGTGAACGATGGCTAACACAAACGAAAAAGAACCGCGAACTGAACGACTGAATCTGATTGTCGGGCTATGCCAGGGACACCCCCAGTAACAAATGGCCAATAGTTACGGAACGACGGGTGGCTCCACAACAACAGATACAAATTTACCCCAAATTGGACGCAGCAGGGTTGGGGACGCCGAGGCAGGGGATCCCGGGAGTGATGCCCACTAGGTAGGTAGTGCAGGAAGATGCCAGTGATAGCACGAAAATCTTACAGCCGTCCTTGGCGTAATTCGCACAAGCGCCGAAGGTCGCGCAGCAACGGGTCGAATCGGCCCCGTCACAATCGGAGTTTGTTTACACACTTCCCGAGGACTTCGCCAAATGTGTGCGGAAGTTTTGCGCTTGGCGCTATACTGCCCGGAGAGGCAACCGTCTGAAAGATGTTTGTTGCGCCTACCCGGCATCTACGAAAGTGAAGAAGGCAGGAGAGACACTCAACAAAGTGTTGTACCTTCGACTTCGAGCTTCCCGTCCATCGGTACTGCCGGTGTTGTACCTTCGGCTTCGAGCATCCCGTCCACCACTTCCGGTGTAGTACCTCAGAGTGATGTTTCCCCGTCTATCGATGTTGATGTAGTGCCTACGTCGATCCGAGATTTTCAGCCTGCCCTAGCCGCAGCCATCGCCTCATCCGACGTCCTGTACCCCTCAATCGTGAACCCGAATGTGTCACGAGAGATAGAGATCATGCCCCTTGAGTCCCAGAATAATTTGCCTTTGATGGACATGAGTATGTTCTTGGATGTAGGCTTGATGAACGGACAAGACTCGGTCCCACCGGGTGACTTTTATCCCGACCCATTAGGCGTGTGTGAGTCTGTGAACCCTCCCGTTGCGTTCGCTGTGATGCAAGATGAGTTGGACGCGCTCAAAGACTTCGCTGCAGAGCGCCGTGTGCAGCAAGATGAAGGTCTCCCCTCCCTTTACCATGCTTTGGCGATTATCGCCCCCGGTGGTCCAGCGTTCACTGTAGGAAAACCCACGTCCACCATCGACATTAATTTGTTCCACGCTTCCACCGGCCACGTGAATGAATTTTTGATGCGGGAAACCGCCAAGCAGCAGGGTGTTCAATTGGTGGGGGAACTGCAGCCATGCGTCGGCTGCATCGAGGCGAAGGGCAGGAGGGCCCCGGTGCCGCGGCGTGGAGTCACCCGCGCGGCGGTACCGTTCGGCAAGGTGCACATCGACATCACCGGCCCGTACTCTGAGGCGTTCGATGGTTCCCGTTACCTGATCATGTTCGTGGACAGTGCGTCGCGGTGGCAACGGGCGTACGGCATGCGGGCCAAGAGCGACACCCTGACGTACACGCGGCGTTTCCTCGCCGACCTGAACGGCAACGGCCCTCTGGGGTGTTTCCGCATGGACAACGCGGGGGAGTTCACGAGTGCTGCCTTCGTCGCGTTCTGCGACGCCGCTGGCATCCGGCGCGAGTACACCGCGCCCGACACCCCGAAGCAGAATGCGGTCGTGGAAAGCGCCATCTGGCGAGCCATGAAGGGGGGCCACGCCGCCCGCCGCCACGTCCTCTCCATGGGCCACTTCGACCTCGCCTCCATCCCCGGTATGGACGCCAACGGACACCGGCTGTGGCTTGCATCGGCGATCTGGGCCTCCGGCTGCTTCAACCGTTCCGCGACGTCGGCCAACCCGGCCTGGATGTCGCCGTTCGAGGCCTTCTTCGGACGCAAACCGCCGCTCAAGGTCGTCCCCTTTTTCCAGGAGGGGATGATGCGCGTGAAGCGCGCCAGCAAGGCGGACGTCCAATCCGTTCGTTGCTTCTACCTGCACGGAGCGCGCAACCACTCCGACGCCACTGCCGTCGTACTCCGCGCCGACACCGGAAGGATCTGCCTGTCCAACAACGTCGTGTGGAT